AGTCTCTGTTCCAGCGACCCAATTGCATTTGCAGTGCTAGCCCTTCATCTGTTTGCACGTCTTATACGTTGGCCCTTCCGCCTTTATTTTAGAAACACTCTTAAAGGTACCCAGCGGCGCGTTCTCGATCTCATGAATACCCTTGGTCTCTCAAATGCCGTCATGCGACTTATCCAGCGGCGGTCTCACCAGGACAAGGTTCTCTTTTATGTTCTCTGTGTCGCCACCCTGATTCTAATGTGGGGCCTATGGCGCTTTATACGTGGATGAAGGATGTTCAGGGGTTTACCACCTGTCCTCCCGCTGTTGCTACCGTCTCTTTCAACAGAAGTCATGTCCAGACACCCCGACACAAGACCCCAACACTGGCTGTTACTCATCCCCACAATCAATTCTGTTCTCACTGTTTGTCCAAAATTGTAATTTATATTTTGATCTCGACGGTACTCTCCGTGCTCTGTGTCGGTCCCACGGTCTGTAGTGATATCATTGCGCTGTTTTCTTGTACAGTTGGTACGCAAGACTACTTAAAGTTATATATCGTTTTTCTCCAAAAGGCAAAGTGCATGTGGTTTTAGAATGGCCAGAATCAGCAACGCATCGCTCCCGCAGCCTGGTATACACTGGCAGTCCTCGGACACCTGGTTCACTGCCGGTGGATGCGCTTACGCTCCCGTTGGGAATACGAGTTGTGAGCATGGCTGTCCAGGCATCCTTGTCCTCCGACCCGTCGTGGTGTTCTTGTTGTTGGTTAAAATCCTGGTCAAGTGCTTGTTGTGAACCAAGGGGGTGTGAAGTGGTATGCCAAGGTTCACGTCCGGCCGTGCCAGTCACCTGCGCCCTTCCCCCCCCGCCCCCAGCCTCTGGTCTTCTTGACTCTGTCTTGACACCTTGCTCAGGTGGGGAGGAGGAGAGAATACGGTAGATGCTGCACAAGTCCACCCTCACTATAAACTAAATCACGCGCAAGTCACCGTGCTCGCTTCGCCATGCTGTGGAGCACACGGCGGACACTGTCGGGCACGACAGTTGAACTGTCATATATCTTACTAAAGCAGATAGTGGCTCGCTCAGCGGGATATGCTAATTCTACTTGATGAATAGAGACAAATGGGCATTCGATCTTCCAGACCTAGTTCTCCAGGAGCATTTTCGACTAGATACATATGCTCTTGACGTCATACAGGTCTTGTCCGCAAACATATGTCCTTGAACTGTGATACGAGGGACAAGTTTATGCGGTACCGTCAGGGACAACAGTACATTCCCAAGTTGGATGTCATGAAGACTGAGCTGGTAGGACGGGCTTTATTACACCAAGGTCGGCAACCATTAGGCAGTCCAATCAAACGTGAGCAGTCTGCGTAGCCCGGACGCGCAGCCAGTTCATGGAATTTGGTCTCTGTCTTTCCGCGCATACAAGTTCTAATGCGTAGTTGGGGTGGGGGGAGGGGGCAATGCCACGTGGCTTTGCCCCGTCGACACTCCCGAGCACCTTGGGAACCCGTCGCCGGAGGTCTAGGATGCAGTACAGTAGAAGAGACGGCAAAAAGCCCGAGGGGGTTGGGGGAGGGGGGGGGAGATGAAAGTAACCGTCTTTCAGCGGTGAGTAGCTGCATTTGTAGGTTCCGTCGCCCTGGTTCTGGACGATGCAGGCTGTACACTGTTTGGTGGGGCTCACTACGATTTTTATGCGGACCAGGGCGTGTGGAATGGAGAGCCAAGGCGCGGGCTCGGTCGCGCCATCAACCTGCGCCCCCCCCCCGACTCTGGTCTCCTTGACCCTATCTTGACACTGGGCTCAGAGGGGGAGGAGAGGGTGCGGTAAATGCAGCGCAAATCCACACCCACTATAAAGTAATTCACGTCTAAGTCACCGTGTTTGCCTTGCTGTGAGCACAAGATGGCCATCGTCGGATGCGATGTTTGAACCGTCAGAAGGACTAGTAGAAAACGGAAGTAGGTGGTCCTTGTTACTGGCTGCCTTCACCTCGTCCACGCCGAGAACACTTGAGTCAAATATTTGTAAGCCGACTGGGAGCCAACTACTTAGCTGCTGTTCTGAGGGAACGTGATCTTATGTGTATGCCTGCAACGGCCATGCAGACGCTGATTTTTTTTGCCTTCATCCGGCCATTCTTCCAACTGGCACTCGTAACCTCTCCATTAATTTGCGATCGGTCGTTAGAACATTTGGAGAAATTTATCTTGCAGCGAAGTGGTACGTTAGGCCGCCTTCGGTTCAGGGGACTCCTGGCTGTGAGTGACAAGAAAATCTCTTCCCGACCGCGCGGGATCATCAGACCTACGTCACATCTTAAATAGCTGAGATTCTCACGAATGGAAGCGAATATGCCAGTGCAGGCTCTTTTTGCAAAGAAGAACGCGCGGTTACTGGGACAGTACGCGTATAAGTCCGAGCTTTCGGTTTCGTACTGGAGGAAATCACCAGAAACTGCGAGAATGGAACATCGAGTGAGCACTATTTATAGCTAATCAAAACGGAAGGGCTGAATCCATGCCATATCACGGCTGCCTTCTGCCGACGAATCATTCTCGCCCTCATTGGCAGAATATACGAGCAGATCAAAGTGACGTCGATGGGTTCCCCAATATTCAGCCTAGTGGCAGAACTGGTCTTACAAGAACTGGAGAAAGTCGCTTCCATCCGTTAGGAACCTGCGTTTGGCGCCGAGATGTGGAAGGGGCAGACTAATAGACTTTCAAGACCTTAAGGACCTTTTCCCCGACATTCAGTATATAAGGAAAGAAGAGAATGCGCCACGGAGAAGAGAACTTAGCGCCACGGTGTATAAGAGGACGGCCGACACAACTCAGGCTCTCAACTACCATTTCGACCACCTGATGCCGCATAAACGCCGCTGTTAGAGCGCTCTTCCAAAGAAAAGAATGCATTGCAGTGACCTGGAGGGACAGGTACGAGAACCACGGCTTCTTCGGGACCAACTGGCAAGGAATGAATATCCAAACAGTCTGTCAGTCGTTATCTCCGGACAAGCCCAGATGGAACAAACGGAGGGGAGCCATCAGCAGTCTTGCACTTACCGCATGTGCCAGAAGCAACGGACCGTATTGCTGCAGAGCTCGACGAGGGGTTTCGTCCATCGTCCGAAATGTACCATACGTACCAGAATCATGCAAATGATGGATCAATTGAACTCAAGTGGGCAGTCTGGTGTTCTTATCAGATCTGTTGACGCAACTACCCTCGCCATTACACAGAACAGACTGGACGACGGCTTACGTCGCAAATAATGGAGCACAAATGAGCAGTCGGGGGAGGCGGCCTACTGTCTAAGGTCGCTACTCACAGCCCCAGCAGAGGTGCACGAATTCTACTTCGCGAGCACGTAGATGACGCAATCCAGGAATAATATGGGGCGGGAACTGCTGGAGGTCTGGGTGTCTGGCACCAACTCCATCAAAAGACGCGACGACCTCCGTTCACAAGGGGCGCGGTCCAATTCCCTGCGAAGGACGCACGCCATGATACAGCGTGAAGTCAGCCTTGCCACGAACACAGCGTCCATCTTATTTGCAGCTGAGATCCTCGCGATGTGGCGGCCCACACGTGTGTCATAGCAAACATTTTCTGAGTTCCGTATGCCCATCTGATTTTAATAATCTAGCCTCTGACAGTGTGGGTGATTTCTCCGGATCGTCTTCGTCAGTATGGCAAGGGGCATTGCAAAAGGGCCCGCTGTACGCTGCCGGGAAATTGAAGACAGCGGATGAACCCGGATTCAGGCCATTCATTCCATTTCGTCTTTCAATCTGTTTCCTCACCGGTATGTTTCAGATACAAATTCTTCTTTCCAAACATATTACACTAAAGGGCCCGTCATTGAAGTTGCCACTAAGTACTAAGGCAATTCTGGTTCCCCTTCAGCCCCGATGTCATCGGCCTCCTTCACAAGTTCCTATAGTTCGCGTTCGGCTTGACCTTGAAGGTCAAGGCCACGGTAATCGCATGCTTCAGACATCTCTATCGATCCGTCCACGACACGTGCAGTCGGCACGGTGTCTGACGCATGTACTTTCTGGCCAGGACGTGCTTCATTTCGAGCAGCTTGGCACAGGAACTGGTTGGAATCTTTTTCGTTTCGAAGCTCCTTCGTGTCTGGTACGTCAATGACCCATCCGCCTTTCAATACTTCGGACAACAGCGGCTTAGCTCACCCAGTCCATTTCAGTGCGTTCTTTTGGCAACAGTTTCAACCGCCTACAATGTGGTCCTTCACGGCGTCTACAGCTACTATTCATTGCGAATGAAGCTGAGACGCAGGCGAACGTTCGACCACCGGATGTTTCGGAACCTCTATCTTGCTACTAATTACCTCGTTTTGAGCAGTATTGTGGGCTGTTTGACATGTTGGATAGGTTCCATGCGCTGGCGGAAGGCCTTTGAGCACACCGTTGGTCGAGTTATGCAGTGCACAGCCAGTGGCAGCTGTTCTGAGCAGGAGGACATTGAGACCCCCTGGATAGGAATTTCTGACCTCTATGAGCTCTGGCGTCCCTGTCTGCGCAACCTTTACGTCCGACAGAATTGCACCACAGGCCGTATTAAAACCATCTTGCTGGCCTTCAAGACTCACCAAGATGGCTTCCTAAACTGTATGTTTGAGATCTATCAGCTCGAATTTGTCAGTTGGATGGGTAATTACGCTCTTAACAGTCTTGTATGTTTGCATTTTCACGCAACGCATCTAGCCTTCCTCGGTTTGTGGCGTGCTGCGGCCATTAGCGCACAGAAAAAGCGACTTGGTGCAACCGGTGTCCACAGCGATGCCTACATGAATCTGCACCCGGCTTCACTACCACAGCACCTGGATAGCAACAAATCCCTTATAGAAGACTACATGTGGGATCTGTTTAATCGGTTACATGTTCAACACCGAGAGGTTGGAGCAACGACAGTGAACGGACCGGAGGTCAGTAAAGGCGGATTCCGAACGCTACAGTCCCGAGGGATTGCCAGCTGGACAGACCCCTCGGGTACCTACTCAGAAGGGTATCCACGCGCGGGGTCCGTCCCACTGGTTACCAGGGAATCTACAGATAGCGAATTCTTCCGGATGCTGCGTCAGAGGAGTGCAAGTGATACTTGCGCCATGAGTGGTAGTTTTTGAGATGTACTTGTTTTGAAATTTTTTAAAGCAGATTCAGAAGTAAACTAATTTTTGGTGGGTTTAGAGAAACGCGGATGGTTATGTTTCGCAGATTAGGAGCGCAAATTGTTATTGCAAGCCAATCCTTGCTGCAGAAGCCGAGATTTTATGCTCCATGTGTGGGAAACAGCGTGAGGGTGTGGCGGTAATTACATACCGGATGCGACTGTTGTAGAAATTTTCTTATGAAATGGATTGACAGAGGCCTTATGTGTTTAGATCATTGTCTGCGAAAATAGACGTATCGATCGCGTGGCTCGTATGGAACTTCTCATTTATAGATATATATATGAATTAGAAGACAGGCACCCCAAAAATATAATCTGAAGATATTTACGTTCTTTAGGGGAGAGCGCAGGGCACAACGGGACAACTGGGTTCGAAAGCGTGATCGGGGAGCGCCACGTTATCATAGTGTATACCCGATCATAACTAACAGACCTGTGGCTCAGTAGTTTGAGGCGTTGAGCGTTTAACTAACAGGTCACTGGGTCGAGCCCCAGTGTTTGCTCTCCTCGAGGTTGGGTATGTCTGGCTGGTGACGGTTAGTAAGCCAGAAGTGACCATTCCAGCCTCCCTTGCATTTGTCGGTAAGGCTATCCCGCCTACATTGCGTGACGCTGTGCGGCTGCTGGCAGAGCTCGAAAGAGAGAGAGAGTCCGTATGGCACAACAGAAAGAGTGGGTTCCGT